ATTAGTGAAGCAAAGGAATATTATTTTATTAAAGTTATTCAAGCATTATATTGCCGCCTCTAAATAGTTGATTTATTGCCATCAAGTATGAAAGGTGTAGATTGGAAAACATACCATATGACACTAAATGTAATGCTGCATCAGGTATGTTACAATCAGTTTTGAAGAACATCCCACAAAGACGACATTTTGAACTGCATGCATGATAAAACATTGCATACATTAAAAAGCATATGCATGCATCATTAAACTGCATGCATCATTAAACTGCATGCATCAAATAGCATTTGGAAATTGCAGTTGAATAGCTTTAGCGACTTTAGTCAGCAATGTCACAAATAATAGTGAACATAGTTTTTATGAATCAGCATATTTATAACTTGATGATTCCGATAACCAATTAGATAGTTCAATGGCAATCCATGTTGATACAAATGGCCCCTATTACGTAGCTAAGATTGCTGATGTCTCATGTATATTGATAAAGTTGAAGAATGTAATGAAGACAGTCATAACAATTTTTGAAATAATTAAATGTGTAGTAATAAGAGAAAGCCTACCATCAAATGGCACTGTACGGCCAGGTGAAAGCCTTTATTAGAAAATGTTATTAGTTCTATTATTTAAGTAAGACGATGGTTTGACGAAGATTGAGGAAGCATTTATATAGATGCATGTGATAATTGTCTTAATAAGCATTATATAACAAGATCCTTGCATGTCAAACAAATAGATCAATTGCATAAACATCATTTCTTTTATTTTGCAAATGTAATGGTAATTGTTAAAAAAGATACAAAAATGTTGACAAATATATTAAACATTCTCAAATTGATTGCAAAAGGATAGGCTTTCTTAACTTGTGTAGTAGTAGAAATGATACTGAATGTAAAAGTTTGCTGCGTATTTTATGCAATGCATCTGTTCATCATTCTTTGTCAAGACCCATCTTAAAACACTTATGTTTCTAGATATGCTTATTTAACAGTAAATATTATTGATTCTTTCCTTGCTGACGGTGAGCTTCAGCATAATCAATAAATTTAAAAGTAATCAAGCCCAAAAGACTAAATTTGATAACATGTACTATGCTGTGAAGAAAACCCAGTTAGAATAAAAAAACTTAGATACTGTACATTATTTTCAGTATGAATTGAAGAAAGCATTGTCTCATTAGGCTGTTACAGTTTATTGCATCTGTGTTTGAACATCCGTAAAGCGCATAGCTAATGCGTGGGAGGCAGTTTAAAGGTGTGGTTTGTGTTCGCACGTGATAGTGATCTGTATCTGTAAGTCTTGTGATTAGTGAGTAGTGATGGAGTGGTGGACAGCATTTAAAAAATAGAGAGGCAAGCACAACAACAGGGTAGTCTCATATTCAGGTAGGGCCAAAACAGATGACCAATTCAGATGTCTCAGTTTCTGTGTGTGATTCTGGTGCCTTTGCTACTACAGAACAGAGAGAAGTGAGACCATTACCTTAGTAATATTTATGTAGTCTAACCTAACTGGTACTGCCTGTGACATGTTTTTGTCAGAAACTGCAATCTGATTTTCTTTGTACTACTTACTTTCATATTATTATTATTATCATTATTATTATTATTATCTGGTCGCAGGTCATAATAGAGTCTGTTTCCAACCAGAGCTTTTCTGATGCAAGTGAAGGTGCAACAGTCACTTATGAGCCAGCTTTATTTGAGTATGGAGTGAAAATTATTAACCCTAACCGAATGAAAGAATTCCGTAATGTCCGAGTTGGATGAGGGAAGAGGTTTTCAACATTACTAGAAGGTCATTTCTGTCAGTTAATGTTCCTGAATTAAATGGAGAAAAGCCTGATTTTAATGTTGTTGACATCGGCTACATTGAGCCAGGACAAGAGATGAAGGGAAAGAAGCGATGGACATATGCAGATGAAGATGTGAATGTGATGTATGATAAGCACAAAGGAAAAGGGAACATTTTTCTGGGGATATTCATCTTGAAACAGGCTGACAGGAACCAAGCAACAGCATCTACACTGTCACACTCTGATGAAGGAGTTAAGGAATCTGGTGTACATAAATATTGCAAAGCTTTGAAGAAGGAACATGGTGATGGAAAGTATACATTACAACAGTTACAAATGTGGGCACATTTAATGCAAATGGGAAAGCATTCTTCAACTGACGAACCACCAGATAAACCTTTTTTGGCAGGGTCGTAAATGCCAACACATCTCATTAACCCAATCTCCGGTG